CCAGCCACGGTATTGCGGGTTAATTGTTCCAGCCACGGTATTGTGGGTTAATTGTTCCAGCTACGGTATTGCGGGTTAATTGTTCCAGCCACGGTATTGCGACTTGTATTCGTTATAATAATTTAGTACTAATTCATTATCACAATTTTCCATTATACATATATATATATATATATATATATATATATATATATATATATATATATATATATATATATATGTGTGTGTGTGTGTGTGTGTGTGTGTGTGTGTGTGTGTGTGTGTGTGTGTGTGTGTGTGTGTGTGTGTGTTGGTGTGTGTGTCGTGCCGAATGTGTAAAACTGGTCAATTAGCAAGAATTCATTTAAAATTAAGTCCTTTCTAAAATTTTCTCTTATACGTTTAAAGATATATTTTTTTCATTAATGTCAATGTAACAATTTTTAATTTTGCTCCAAAAGAATCTTAGAAAACTTACCTAACCTTATTATAACAAGAGCAATTTATTTTAGCCTAACCCAACTAAATATATTTTAGATTTGTTTACACCCTCATCAACACTGCCTGAGTGATGACTCTTGTTAACACCCTCATCAACACTGCCTGAGTGATGACTCTTGTTAACACCCTCATCAACACTGTCTGAGTGATGACTCTTGTTAACACCCTCATCAACACTGCCTGAGTGATGACTCTTGTTAACACCCTCATCAACACTGTCTGAGTGATGACTCTTGTTAACACCCTCATCAACACTGCCTGAGTGATGACTCTTGTTAACACCCTCATCAACACTGTCTGAGTGATGACTCTTGTTAACACCCTCATCAACACAGTCTGAGTGATGACTCTTGTTAACACCCTCATCAACACTGTCTGAGTGATGACTCTTGTTAACACCCTCATCAACACTGCCTGAGTGATGACTCTTGTTAACACCCTCATCAACACTGTCTGAGTGATGACTCTTGTTAACACCCTCATCAACACTGCCTGAGTGATGACTCTTGTTAACACCCTCATCAACACTGTCTGAGTGATGACTCTTGTTAACACCCTCATCAACACTGCCTGAGTGATGACTCTTGTTAACACCCTCATCAACACTGTCTGAGTGATGACTCTTGTTAACACCCTCATCAACACAGTCTGAGTGATGACTCTTGTTTAACACCCTCATCAACACTGCTGAGTGATGACTCTTGTTAACACCCTCATCAACACAGTCTGAGTGATGACTCTTGTTAACACCCTCATCAACACTGTCTGAGTGATGACTCTTGTTAACACCCTCATCAACACTGCCTGAGTGATGACTCTTGTTAACACCCTCATCAACACTGCCTGAGTGATGACTCTTGTTAACACCCTCATCAACACTGCCTGAGTGATGACTCTTGTTAACACCCTCATCAACACTGTCTGAGTGATGACTCTTGTTAACACCCTCATCAACACTGTCTGAGTGATGAACTCTTGTTAACACCCTCATCAACACAGTCTGAGTGATGACTCTTGTTAACACCCTCATCAACACTGAGTGATGACTCTTGTTAACACCCTCATCAACACTGCCTGAGTGATGACTCTTGTTAACACCCTCATCAACACTGTCTGAGTGATGACTCTTGTTAACACCCTCATCAACACAGTCTGAGTGATGACTCTTGTTAACACCCTCATCAACACAGTCTGAGTGATGACTCTTGTTAACACCCTCATCAACACAGTCTGAGTGATGACTCTTGTTAACACCCTCATCAACACTGCCTGAGTGATGACTCTTGTTAACACCCTCATCAACACTGTCCTGAGTGATGACTCTTGTTAACACCCTCATCAACACAGTCTGAGTGATACTCTTGTTAACACCCTCATCAACACTGTCTGAGTGATGACTTTGTTAACACCCTCATCAACACAGTCTGAGTGATGACTCTTGTTAACACCCTCATCAACACAGTCTGAGTGATGACTCTTGTTAACACCCTCATCAACACAGTCTGAGTGATGACTCTTGTTAACACCCTCATCAACACAGTCTTGAGTGATGACTCTTGTTAACACCCTCATCAACACTGTCTGAGTGATGACTCTTGTTAACACCCTCATCAACACAGTCTGAGTGATGACTCTTGTTAACACCCTCATCAACACTGTCTGAGTGATGACTCTTGTTAACACCCTCATCAACACTGTCTGAGTGATGACTCTTGTTAACACCCTCATCAACACTGTCTGAGTGATGACTCTTGTTAACACCCTCATCAACACTGTCTGAGTGATGACTCTTGTTAACACCCTCATCAACACAGTCTGAGTGATGACTCTTGTTAAACACCCTCATCAACACTGTCTGAGTGATGATCTTGTTAACACCCTCATCAACACTGCCTGAGTGATGACTCTTGTTAACACCCTCATCAACACTGCCTGAGTGATGACTCTTGTTAACACCCTCATCAATGAAATGAAAAATATTTATTGGTCCATTACACTGAATCATTGATGACGCATCATCGTCAGCTGAGTCAGAGAGAGAGAGAGAGAGAGAGAGAGAGAGAGAGAGAGAGAGAGAGAGAGAGAGAGAGAGAGAGAGAGAGAGAGAGAGAGAGAGAGAGAGCTCTTTCACATACAAGTATATGAATTGTACAATTAATAAACTGTGTTTCCTGTTAACTGACTAATGGTCCATTAATTTGCGACTCTCCGAGCCATTGACTTCGTGTGTCCTGGTCTTTAAACCTCACAAACGATCAGCCTTTTTCCCCAAATGTCATGTTTGTTTGTGTGTTAAGACTTGATCCTTACGTTGTGTATTGATGTGTGTGTGTGTGTGTGTGTGTTTGTGTGTGTGTGTGTGTGTGTGTGTGTGTGTGTGTTTTAGAGGAAAGACAAAGGAAGGAAAGTAAAAATAGACGAAAAATGTATATATAGTATATGAGAAAAGTGATATCTCTGACGTAATGGTGCCACACATATGTATGGTTTTGTGTGTACACCTGTATGACATCACTGATGTACACAGCTGCTTGAGGGACCTAATTATCTAATATGTATGTATGTATGTCAGTCCTTAACATTTGCATTTTCTCTCCCATACTGTACTGTGTGTTATGTCTACATTTCCTTGGGTTGAACTCGAGAAGCCACTTGTTTGATCACATCTAAAGTTTATTGAGGTCTCTCTGTAGTTTATCACGGTCCTCTCATGTTCTTATTTTTCTCATTAATTTTACAACGTCAGAAAATAGTAACACATAGGACTAGTCCCTCTGGCAGGTCATTCCCTTACATTAGAAACAGTAATGGTTCTAGTATTGAACCTTGCGGAACCCCACTTGTTACTCTCTCCCAACAAGCCTTCTTGCCCTTCTCCCGGCCTCTCTACATTCTTGGTTCAGCCATGATGGTCTCTCCTTGTTTTTCCTGTTTTTTTTCTTTATACTTGATATGAATATCGCCTTTGCCTCTTGGCACTTTGACTCTGTTACTTCCATCATTTCTTGTACAGTTTTTGCCTTCCAGTTCCCTTTCATATTCCACTTCTCTCGGAAATATCATGCTATCGTAGTCCCGTCTTCTGTAGTCACATTTGCTCTTTCCTGCTTCTTCCCTTTCTCTATTCCTCTTTCCAAAAAAGTACTCAAAGCATAGTACCACATGATCCGTTATGTCATATTCATTTTGTGTGAAAATCAAATCAAGTCTCGCCGGCTCATCTCCCCTCACTCTTGTTTTCTTCACATGTTGGCTCAGAAAATTCTTCATAACTGTGTCCATAAATTCCACTTTTCCACGTTCCTGGTCCTCCATGGAAGGGGGGGGGGGGCGCAGTCTCCTATGGTTAAAGTCTTCTAGTACCAGGAGTTTAACTTTATTTCTTGTTTCCCTCTCAGTCGGTGTTTCCAGTACGTGAATCATTGCCCTATTATTTTCATTATACTCTTCTGTCATTTGCTGCTGGATCATGCATCAGTCACTATCACATTTATGTCCCCAGATATTAAAATATATGCTATATATGCCCTGAACTCTCCCGTTTCCTAGGAGGGAGGCAGTACTCTCCCGTCACACGCCTCACATGACTTAAGTTGGTAGACAACCTTCCAGGGAGGTAGGACTCTCCCGTCACGTGCCTTACATGACTTAAGTTGGTAGACAACCTTCCAGGGAGGTAGGACTCTCCCGTCACATGCCTTACATGACTTAAGTTGGTAGACAACCTTCCAGGGAGGTAGGACTCTCCCGTCACGTGCCTTACATGACTTAAGTTGGTAGACAACCTTCCAGGGAGGTAGGACTCTCCCGTCACATGCCTTACATAACTTAAGTTGGTAGACAACCTTGTAGGGAGGTAGGACTCTCCCGTCACATGCCTCACATGACTTAAGTTGGTAGACAACCTTCCAGGGAGGTAGGACTCTTCCGTCACGCGCCTCACATGACTTAAGTTGGTAGACAACCTTCCAGGGAGGCAGTACTCTCCCGTCACATACCTCACATGACTTAAGTTGGTAGACAACCTTCCAGGGAGGCAGTACTCTCCCGTCACGTACCTCACATGACTTAAGTTGGTAGACAACCTTCCAGGGAGGCAGTAATGGGGCAAAAAAAAAAAAAAGGAGAACCATTGATCTGAGGAATTGGTGCCTCCCCTTTTCCTTGGATCAAACCTGATTACCTCTCATTCTCTCTGATCCTGATAGGTTTAGCGCTTTCCCTTAAATACACTAATACTTGTTAAACTAGCACCATTAACTAATGTCTTGTTAAACCAGCACCACTAATTACTCCCTTGTTAAGCTAGCACCACTCACTACTGGCTTATTAAACCAGCACCACTAATTGCTGCTTAGTTAAACTAGCACTACTAACTACTGTCTTGTTCAACTAGCACTTCAGACTACTACCAAGTGTTAAACTAGCACTACAGACTACTACCTAGTGTTAAACTAGCACTTCAAACTACTACCTAGTGTTAAACTAGCACCACTAACTACTGTCTTGTCTTTTTACAGACTACCTGTGTTCGCCGGAAGCCAATGTTTACGACATAGACTTCACGAGGTTTAAAATTCGCGACATGGATACGGGCACAGTATTGTTTGAGATCGCTAAACCTCCACCACAAGGTGAGTGTGTTGTGGGAGTATGTTGTGGGAGTGTAATGTGGGAGTGTGATGTGGGAGTGTGTTGTGTATGTTGTGTGTGTTGTAAGAGTGTGTTGTGGGAGTGTGATGTGGGAGTATGTTGTGGGAGTGTGTTGTGTTGTGTGTCTTGTGGGAGTGTGTTGTGTTGTGTGTCTTGTGGGAGTGTGTTGTGTTGTGTGTCTTGTGGGAGTGTGTTGTGTTGTGTGTCTTGTGGGAGTGTGTTGTGTTGTGTGTCTTGTGGGAGTGTGTTGTGTTGTGTGTCTTGTGGGAGTGTGTTGTGTTGTGTGTCTTGTGGGAGTGTGTTGTGTTGTGTGTCTTGTGGGAGTGTGTTGTGTTGTGTGTCTTGTGGGAGTGTGTTGTGTTGTGTGTCTTGTGGGAGTGTGTTGTGTTGTGTGTCTTGTGGGAGTGTGTTGTGTTGTGTGTCTTGTGGGAGTGTGTTGTGTTGTGTGTCTTGTGGGAGTGTGTTGTGTTGTGTGTCTTGTGGGAGTGTGTTGTGTTGTGTGTCTTGTGGGAGTGTGTTGTGTTGTGTGTCTTGTGGGAGTGTGTTGTGTTGTGTGTCTTGTGGGAGTGTGTTGTGTTGTGTGTCTTGTGGGAGTGTGCTGTGTTGTGTGTCTTGTGGGAGTGTGTTGTGTTGTGTGTCTTGTGGGAGTGTGTTGTGTTGTGTGTCTTGTGGGAGTGTGCTGTGTTGTGTGTCTTGTGGGAGTGTGCTGTGTTGTGTGTCTTGTGGGAGTGTGCTGTGTTGTGTGTCTTGTGGGAGTGTGTTGTGTTGTGTGTCTTGTGGGAGTGTGTTGTGTTTGTGTGTCTTGTGGGAGTGTGCTGTGTTGTGTGTCTTGTGGGAGTGTGTTGTGTTGTGTGTCTTGTGGGAGTGTGCTGTGTTGTGTGTCTTGTGGGAGTGTGTTGTGTTGTGTGTCTTGTGGGAGTGTGTTGTGTTGTGTGTCTTGTGGGAGTGTGCTGTGTTGTGTGTCTTGTGGGAGTGTGCTGTGTTGTGTGTCTTGTGGGAGTGTGCTGTGTTGTGTGTCTTGTGGGAGTGTGTGCTGTGTTGTGTGTCTTGTGGGAGTGTGCTGTGTTGTGTGTCTTGTGGGAGTGTGCTGTGTTGTGTGTCTTGTGGAGTGTGCTGTGTTGTGTGTCTTGTGGGAGTGTGCTGTGTTGTGTGTCTTGTGGGAGTGTGTTGTGTTGTGTGTCTTGTGGGAGTGTGTTGTGTTGTGTGTCTTGTGGGAGTGTGCTGTGTTGTGTGTCTTGTGGGAGTGTGCTGTGTTGTGTGTCTTGTGGGAGTGTGTTGTGTTGTGTGTCTTGTGGGAGTGTGTTGTGTTGTGTGTTCTTGTGGGAGTGTGCTGTGTTGTGTGTCTTGTGGGAGTGTGCTGTGTTGTGTGTCTTGTGGGAGTGTGTTGTGTTGTGTGTCTTGTGGGAGTGTGTTGTGTTGTGTGTCTTGTGGGAGTGTGCTGTGTTGTGTGTCTTGTGGGAGTGTGTTGTGTTGTGTGTCTTGTGGAGTGTGTTGTGTTGTGTGTCTTGTGGGAGTGTGTTGTGTTGTGTTGTCTTGTGGGAGTGTGCTGTGTTGTGTGTCTTGTGGGAGTGTGTTGTGTTGTGTGTCTTGTGGGAGTGTGCTGTGTTGTGTGTCTTGTGGGAGTGTGTTGTGTTGTGTGTCTTGTGGGAGTGTGCTGTGTTGTGTGTCTTGTGGGAGTGTGTTGTGTTGTGTGTCTTGTGGGAGTGTGTTGTGTTGTGTGTCTTGTGGGAGTGTGTTGTGTTGTGTGTCTTGTGGGAGTGTGTTGTGTTGTGTGTCTTGTGGGAGTGTGCTGTGTTGTGTGTCTTGTGGGAGTGTGTTGTGTTGTGTGTCTTGTGGGAGTGTGCTGTGTTGTGTGTCTTGTGGGAGTGTGCTGTGTTGTGTGTCTTGTGGGAGTGTGTTGTGTTGTGTGTCTTGTGGGAGTGTGCTGTGTTGTGTGTCTTGTGGGAGTGTGCTGTGTTGTGTGTCTTGTGGGAGTGTGCTGTGTTGTGTGTCTTGTGGGAGTGTGCTGTGTTGTGTGTCTTGTGGGAGTGTGTTGTGTTGTGTTGTCTTGTGGGAGTGTGTTGTGTTGTGTGTCTTGTGGGAGTGTGCTGTGTTGTGTGTCTTGTGGGAGTGTGTTGTGTTGTGTGTCTTGTGGGAGTGTGTTGTGTTGTGTGTCTTGTGGAGTGTGTTGTGTTGTGTGTCTTGTGGGAGTGTGTTGTGTTGTGTGTCTTGTGGGAGTGTGTTGTGTTGTGTGTCTTGTGGGAGTGTGCTGTGTTGTGTGTCTTGTGGGAGTGTGTTGTGTTGTGTGTCTTGTGGGAGTGTGTTGTGTTGTGTGTCTTGTGGGAGTGTGCTGTGTTGTGTGTCTTGTGGGAGTGTGTGTGTTGTGTGTCTTGTGGGAGTGTGTTGTGTTGTGTGTCTTGTGGGAGTGTGTTGTGTTGTGTGTCTTGTGGGAGTGTGTTGTGTGTTGTGTGTCTTGTGGGAGTGTGTTGTGTTGTGTGTCTTGTGGGAGTGTGTTGTGTTGTGTGTCTTGTGGGAGTGTGTTGTGTTGTGTGTCTTGTGGGAGTGTGTTGTGTTGTGTGTCTTGTGGGAGTGTGCTGTGTTGTGTGTCTTGTGGGAGTGTGTTGTGTTGTGTGTCTTGTGGGAGTGTGTTGTGTTGTGTGTCTTGTGGGAGTGTGTTGTGTTGTGTGTCTTGTGGGAGTGTGCTGTGTTGTGTGTCTTGTGGGAGTGTGTTGTGTTGTGTGTCTTGTGGGAGTGTGTTGTGTTGTGTGTCTTGTGGGAGTGTGTTGTGTTTGTGTGTCTTGTGGGAGTGTGTTGTGTTGTGTGTCTTGTGGGAGTGTGTTGTGTTGTGTGTCTTGTGGGAGTGTGCTGTGTTGTGTGTCTTGTGGGAGTGTGCTGTGTTGTGTGTCTTGTGGGAGTGTGTTGTGTTGTGTGTCTTGTGGGAGTGTGTTGTGTTGTGTGTCTTGTGGGAGTGTGTTGTGTTGTGTGTCTTGTGGGAGTGTGTTGTGTTGTGTGTCTTGTGGGAGTGTGTTGTGTTGTGTGTCTTGTGGGAGTGTGTTGTGTTGTGTGTCTTGTGGGAGTGTGTTGTGTTGTGTGTCTTGTGGGAGTGTGTTGTGTTGTGTGTCTTTGTGGGAGTGTGTTGTGTTGTGTGTCTTGTGGGAGTGTGCTGTGTTGTGTGTCTTGTGGGAGTGTGTTGTGTTGTGTGTCTTGTGGGAGTGTGTTGTGTTGTGTGTCTTGTGGGAGTGTGTTGTGTTGTGTGTCTTGTGGGAGTGTGCTGTGTTGTGTGTCTTGTGGGAGTGTGTTGTGTTGTGTGTCTTGTGGGAGTGTGTTGTGTTGTGTGTCTTGTGGGAGTGTGTTGTGTTGTGTGTCTTGTGGGAGTGTGCTGTGTTGTGTGTCTTGTGGGAGTGTGCTGTGTTGTGTGTCTTGTGGAGTGTGCTGTGTTGTGTGTCTTGTGGGAGTGTGCTGTGTTGTGTGTCTTGTGGGAGTGTGCTGTGTTGTGTTGTCTTGTGGGAGTGTGTTGTGTTGTGTGTCTTGTGGGAGTGTGTTGTGTTGTGTGTCTTGTGGGAGTGTGTTGTGTTGTGTGTCTTGTGGGAGTGTGTTGTGTTGTGTGTCTTGTGGGAGTGTGTTGTGTTGTGTGTCTTGTGGGAGTGTGCTGTGTTGTGTGTCTTGTGGGAGTGTGCTGTGTTGTGTGTCTTGTGGGAGTGTGTTGTGTTGTGTGTCTTGTGGGAGTGTGCTGTGTTGTGTGTCTTGTGGGAGTGTGTTGTGTTGTGTGTCTTGTGGGAGTGTGTTGTGTTGTGTGTCTTGTGGGAGTGTGTTGTGTTGTGTGTCTTGTGGGAGTGTGCTGTGTTGTGTGTCTTGTGGGAGTGTGTTGTGTTGTGTGTCTTGTGGGAGTGTGCTGTGTTGTGTGTCTTGTGGGAGTGTGTTGTGTTGTGTGTCTTGTGGGAGTGTGCTGTGTTGTGTGTCTTGTGGGAGTGTGTTGTGTTGTGTGTCTTGTGGGAGTGTGTTGTGTTGTGTGTCTTGTGGGAGTGTGTTGTGTTGTGTGTCTTGTGGGAGTGTGTTGTGTTGTGTGTCTTGTGGGAGTGTGCTGTGTTGTGTGTCTTGTGGGAGTGTGCTGTGTTGTGTGCTTGTGGGAGTGTGTTGTGTTGTGTGTCTTGTGGGAGTGTGTTGTGTTGTGTGTCTTGTGGGAGTGTGCTGTGTTGTGTGTCTTGTGGGAGTGTGCTGTGTTTGTGTCTTGTGGGAGTGTGTTGTGTTGTGTGTCTTGTGGGAGTGTGCTGTGTTGTGTGTCTTGTGGGAGTGTGTTGTGTTGTGTGTCTTGTGGGAGTGTGTTGTGTTGTGTGTCTTGTGGGAGTGTGCTGTGTTGTGTGTCTTGTGGGAGTGTGCTGTGTTGTGTGTCTTGTGGGAGTGTGCTGTGTTGTGTGTCTTGTGGGAGTGTGCTGTGTTGTGTGTCTTGTGGGAGTGTGTTGTGTTGTGTGTCTTGTGGGAGTGTGTTGTGTTGTGTGTCTTGTGGGAGTGTGTTGTGTTGTGTGTCTTGTGGGAGTGTGCTGTGTTGTGTGTCTTGTGGGAGTGTGCTGTGTTGTGTGTCTTGTGGGAGTGTGTTGTGTTGTGTGTCTTGTGGGAGTGTGTTGTGTTGTGTGTCTTGTGGGAGTGTGTTGTGTTGTGTGTCTTGTGGGAGTGTGTTTGTGTTGTGTGTCTTGTGGGAGTGTGCTGTGTTGTGTGTCTTGTGGAGTGTGTTGTGTTGTGTGTCTTGTGGGAGTGTGCTGTGTTGTGTGTCTTGTGGGAGTGTGTTGTGTTGTGTGTCTTGTGGGAGTGTGCTGTGTTGTGTGTCTTGTGGGAGTTGTGTTGTGTTGTGTGTCTTGTGGAGTGTGCTGTGTTGTGTGTCTTGTGGGAGTGTGCTGTGTTGTGTGTCTTGTGGGAGTGTGTTGTGTTGTGTGTCTTGTGGGAGTGTGTTGTGTTGTGTGTCTTGTGGGAGTGTGTTGTGTTGTGTGTCTTGTGGGAGTGTGTTGTG